AGGTTTTGATGAGATTTTCTCCTATTGTGTTTTCTTTTTTGCTTGGCATTTTCTATCGCGACTCCATTTGATGCTTGCACTAAAGCTGTGTTTCCTTGGTGAAAACTTCCAGTTCGATCAAGTCTACGACGTTTGCAACTAGCTTCATGCTGACGAAAGAACTCCATATCTTTTTTAGTGTGATCCGAATGACTCGTCTCAAATGACGTTTTAGTTTTGAAGATTTCATAAACTCGTGACTGAGAACAACTTTGTAGCCTACAGTACGCATTGCTTCTTCTCTATTCCATTTCAGGTGATGTTAGTAAAGCCGAATTTCAGATATTCTTCCAAGTATTTGTTTTGTTTCTCATTACTAAGGTTTAGCATACCAGCAGGGGTGTAGCGAGGGGGGGGGGGCGGGGGGTGCGGACCGCACCGAGTGACACCATTTAGGGGGGGTGACACCAAGGCAAAAAGTAGCAAAATATATAGAGAAAAACTTGAGGGGGGGGGGTGCAAATCGAAAGTTTGAGGGGGAGGTGCAAATCAAAAACTTGAGGTGGGGTGCAAATCGAAAGTTTGAAGGGGGGGGGGGTGCAAATCGAAAACTTGAAAGTTTGTCCCCGGGAAGGGCCGCAACGCCTCTGGGGGGGGGGGGGGGGGTGACACCATTAAGTGCCGCACCGGGTGACACCCGACCTCGCTACGCCACTGTATATCTAATATATAAAGCTCAGTTCTGTATGTAATGCATTTGTATGTCGTTGGAATTGTACGAATTTAAGTGTTAGAAAATTATCGTGCGCATTTGTCTAAATTTATGAGCTAAAAAATTACCATTGAAAGTGTTGGGAAATCATTTTCATTTTTCAAATTACAGTAATAATTGTCGGCATGTTCATTAAACACAAGTTTTAAAAAAATATCATCTTTTACAAAAATTCTAATTATGTCTTTATTTAGTCCTATAGCACTTACTTCCCTTTGATAAATTAGGAAAACAAAATTACTTCCCTTTATAAAACCATTGCATTAGTCGAAAATAATTTACTTTTTAATTACTTTGTTTTGGTGTTGGGAAAAAAAAATAATTACATAATTAGCGGGGATTGATCAAGTGCAAATGTTGTAGGTATTTTACTGATAAGCTTGGAGTATTAAAATTGTTCATCAAATTGAAACAGGCGCGTTCGTTTAAGTGAGTGCAAAAGACTATGAATAAGTTGGGGTACTATAGTCGTTCATTAAGCTAAAACAGGTGATTCCGCCCCGGGCGTTTATGTTCGCGTTAGTGTTTTCTTTGTGTTTAGGTGGGTTTGTGTTAGTGGTTGCGTTTTGATTTGGTTCGTTTTTGTTCTTTCTTTTTTCGTTTTTGTTTGTGTTTTTTTTTTGTGGGTTTGTATTTGTGTTTTTGGTTGGTTTTGCGTTTGAATTTGGTTTGTTTTCGTTTGCTTTTTCGTTGTTTTTTTTTTTTGTTGGTATTGGTGTTTGTGGTTGGGTTTGTTGTTAGGTTTTTGTTTTCGTTTGCTTTTTTGTTTGTTTTTTCTTTGTGTTTGTATTGGTGTTTGTGGTTGTGGTTGGGTTTGTTGTTAGGTTTTTGTTTTCGTTTGTATTTGTAATTGTGTTAGCGTTATGTTTGCGTTTTGTTGTTTTGGTTTTGGTTGGTTGTGGTTTGGGTGGGCAATGCCGGGTTTATGATGATTACTAAACACACAGGTAATGGTCTTTAACAGAAAGGTTTTTCACAGAAGCCAGAGCAGGGCCTGGCCGGGACGGCTAGTATATATATATTAATACTAATAGTTTCGCTGTCTGTCTATCTATCTGACAAGAACGCTCTGGAGAAAACACAAGCAATTTAAAAACCTTCACAGTGAAACGAAAAACGAAGTATGACGTCGACACATTTAGCACAGAGTAGAAAATAATCTCAAGCCGGATAGTGCACACATTAATATGATCACTTCATTGATTATCGAGTAAACATTCAATACAAAGGCAATTTGGTCTAATCCAAGTGGTTTGCGTGAAGTTTCTTTCATACAATTCTTCGGGTAGGGGCGAAGCCCCACCCCCGCGTAAGAACGTCTGGTTTTAATTTAGACTTTTTCTTCCCCGGAGAGGGGTGGGGGTACTTGAAATTTTCGGTGGCGGGGGCAGAATTTTCGGGGAGGGGGCGGACACTGGAAAAAGTATATAATTATATTTCGTTGAATGGGACGGTAGACATGTTTTTTTTTGGGGTGGGGGGTGGGGGGTGGTGTGTGTGGGGGGGGGGGGGGGTGGTGTGTGTGGGGAAGGGGGGGGGGGTGGGGGTTGGTGTGGGGGGGGGGGGTGGGGTGGTTTTAGTTTAGACTTTTTCCTCCCCGGAGAGGGGTGGGGGTACTTGAAATTTTCGGTGGCGGGGGTAGAATTTTCGGGGAGGGGGCGGACACTGGAAAAAGTATATAATTATATTTCGTTGAATGGGACGGTAGACATGTTTTTTTGGGGGGGGGGGGGGTGGGGGGGGTGGGGTGGTTTTAGTTTAGAGAAAAGAGACAGCACTATCAGCCTAGCGCCCGTTGTATCCTTCCTCAACGGGCCATTTTTCTCGTATATATATATATATATATATATATATATATATATATATATATATATATATATATATATATATATATATATATATATATATATATATATATTTATATATATATAATACATCTAGAATGCAGTTTAATATTATGCTACACTAAGACTCGCATTATAAATACTTGGTGCCTACAATAAATCTAATATATAAAGCTCAGTTCTGTATGTAATGCATATGTTTGTCGTTGGTCTTGGATGAATTTAAGTGTTAGAAAATTATCGTGCGCATTTGTCTAAATTTATAAGCTAAAAAATTACTATTGAAAGTGTTGGGAAATAATTTTCATTTTTCAAATTATAGTAATAATTGTCGGCATGTTCATTAAACACAAGTTTAAAAAAAATATCATCTTTTACAAAAATTCTAATTATGTCTTTATTTAGTCCTATAGCACTTACTTCCCTTTGATAAATTAGGAAAACAAAATTACTTCCCTTTATAAAACCATTGCATTTTTTTGAAAATATGTTACTTTTTAATTACTTTGTTTTGGTGTTGGGAAAAAAAAATAATTACATAATTAGCGGGGATTGATCAAGTGCAAATGTTGTAGGTATTTTACGGATAAGCTTGGAGTATTAAAATTGTTCATTAAATTGAAACAGGCGCGTTCGTTTAAGTGAGTGCAAAAGACTATGAATAAGTTGGGGTACTATAGTCGTTCATTAAGCTAAAACGGGTGATTCCGCCCCGGGCGTTTATGTTCGCGTTAGTGTTTTCATTGTGTTTAGGTGGGTTTGCGTTAGTGGTTTCGTTTTGATTTGGTTCGTTTTTGTTCTTTCTTTTTTCGTTTTTGTTTGTGTTTTTTTTGTTTGGGTTTGTATTTGTGTTTTTGGTTGGTTTTGCGTTTGGATTTGGTTTGTTTTCGTTTGCTTTTTCGTTGTTGTTTTTTTTTTGTTGGTATTGGTGTTTGTGGTTGGGTTTGTTGTTAGGTTTTTGTTTTCGTTTGCTTTTTTGTTTGTTTTTTCTTTGTGTTTGTATTGGTGTTTGTGTTTGTGGTTGGGTTTGTTGTTAGGTTTTTGTTTTCGTTTGTATTTGTAATTGTGTTAGCGTTATGTTTGCGTTTTGTTGTTTTGGTTGGTTGTGGTTTGGGTGGGCAATGCCGGGTTTATGATGATTACTAAACACACAGGTAATGGTCTTTAACAGAAAGGTTTTTCACAGAAGCCAGAGCAGGGCCTGGCCGGGACGGCTAGTTACAGATAAATGTTATATTTAGATGTTAAGTGTAAATACCAAAATGTCAGTACAACAATGTTTTGGCAAATTTACAATAGTTAGAGTCGCTCCAGGACAAACTTTTTGAGGCTATTTCATCTTACAAGTAAAATGTCACTTTTATGGTTTTGTAGATAAGTGATATTTAGTTTCAAATACATTGTTAATCTAAACAAAAACTATATATAAACAGTTCGAACTACAGTTGTTTATCTGCAATAGAGCTGATAATGTTATCAAGACATATTTCAGTGTATTTCACAGTAAACCGTCATTTGGTGTAATGTGGTTATAATATTGTGTTTTCATTGCTGGGAGTGGTGTTAAGAGCAAGCTTTAAAACTAAATGTTAAAACAAGGTATTAATATGTCGGGAGCCGCTTTGTAGGGAGCCAATATTCCTGAGCTTATTTGTCGGGGGCCAATATGTCGGGAGCCTATTTGTTGCGAGTCATTATGACGGCAGCCCATGTGACGGGAGCCAATAAGTCGGGGCCCTTTTGACGGGGCTATTTTGACAGGTTTGTTTTGTCTGGGGTCGATTTGACGGGGTCATATTAACGGGGCCGTTTTGACGGGGCCGATTTGTCCCGGGCCGTTTCGGAGGTTGAGGTGCACCAAAAAGTACATTTTTCCCCGGCGAAATCAATCTATCTAGCACAGTTTACCGTAGCTGAAGCATAGGTTTTCATGCCAAGGGAAACAATTCAGTTAATATTTTCAGCTAAAGCAACCTAGCGTAGTTATATCCCCTTAACCTGGCGTAGTTATATCCCCTTACAGAAAAAACTAAGGTGACTGCTAAAGTGAATCGTCATTTTTAAGAAAAGGGTCTGAATTTTTGTGACGATGGGTCTGACACGTGTGACCGTCATTTATGGGCGGCCCATTTAGCCTGACCCCTCCCCCCCCCTCCTTAACCCCTGCGTTTAAAAATACGTTTTAATAAATTAGAAATAGAACAGAGGTTTTAGTAGGGGATTATTTGTCAGACTAGAGAAGGAAGAATTGTGCTCTTGAATATGAAACTGCATCGTTGTATGGTGTAATTGAAAGCGGCTAATATTTTATTGAACATCAAACTTGAGACTAGTGTGTGAATATTTTTACTTGTTTCTTTACTTTACAAACATAAATAAACACAAAATATCTCATTCAAGCATAAAGAAATCAGCCTTTCACGACTTACAAACAACATCAAAAGTCTGATAAACAGGTTGAATGTATATTTTATTATTTGTACATGAAACAGTAAACTAAAATTCAAACACTTTCAAGACGAAATAATATATCACAATTCTCAACTCTACTTGACAAATTTCAGGTTGATTAACACATCTAAAGTTTGCGCATTAGAAACTAAACAGGTAACACGTAAGAAAGTGTTGAAAAATTATTGTATGTGTATGTGTGTGGGGGGGAGGGGGGAGGGGGGAGGGTTTATCTGTACTAATACAGATGGTGGAGGGCTGTATACGAGTGTATACTAGTGTATACGAGTGTATACGAGTGTATACTAGTGTATACGAGTGTATACGAGTGTTTCTAACTACATTTTTACATATTATAATTTTGTTAAATTTTGCAACATTCGTCAAACTGCTTGTAGAAAATAGCATTTGTTCTGTTCATCTTTTGCAGACAGCTTGCTTTGTTCCAGGTTTATTTTGTTTCTAAACATCGCACTTATAAAAATTATCTAACTACCAGCATGTGAACTCAATAACTGTTGAACACATACACTATCTGCAGATGCTTATTCTATTAATTAGTAGGAATTTTTTAAAAATAAAATAATGTGTACACAGTTGAAATTAATTATTTTACGCTTTTTTGCTGTTGTAAACATAATGTTTAAATTTCAAATTCAAATTAACTTTTAATTTTTGTTCTATTAAAATAAAATAAGGGGAAATAGATGTAACGATTATGTTAAAATTTAAACCATTAATAAACTGGGTTGTATCCCTTATTCGGTAAATGTTGAATACATTTTCGACTACTTTGTCTTTAGTTCTTAGCACAATATTTAAACTTCGAGTCAAATTGCTTTTTAAAATAAGGATATAAAGGAAAATAAGAGAAAACTACGTAAAAATTTTAATCATTAATGAACTTGGTTATATCCCTTATTAAGAAAATTATCACTGTTCGGTAGATGTTCATTTTTTGTGTAATGGTCAAGCAAAGCGTCTATCGTGGCGAAATAATTGAGTTTATCGAGAGAGTATTCGTTTCCGGAGCTGTAGATTTTGTATTCTTTCACGTGCAAATTGCGAGTTAAATAGGACAGGACTTTATCGTCGCTCTGGCGCGATTTCCGGATCAGGTAAGTTCCGTAAACTTGTTTGGCTTGCAACAGACAGATCAGGTGATCGCGGTCTGGGTTGGGGTCGTCGACCGTACACATGGCCTCTAGAGATGGTTTACACTCGTCCAGGGTTTGGTACGTTTCTTGTATTTGTTTTAAATTGGCGTAATCCGGTTCTGGGATTACATTTACAACCTCGCTGTACCGTGGGGGAGGTTTTGGCTGAGGGTCGGATGGCGATCGCGTGAATTTTCTTTTAGGTTTGGTTTTAAGTTCGTCTTCTTCCTTACAGACAGGCAGCGGGGTGATATCCTCGTATGTGCTGGTACCGGAAGACAACGCTTTAAGTTTGGCGGCGAAGTCTGAGGGGACATGCGGCAAGGATTGAGATCTTTTAGTTTTATAAACCGGCGCGACCGGTTCTTCAAATTCATCCGAGCTGTCCGAAAAATCAGAATCGGTGTCATTGTCAATGTTTTTATCTTCCGGTGGGAAGACGATAGATTCGAGATCGTTGTATTCTTCCTCGTTTCCTAATGAAGAGAGCAGCCCTCCTAGTTCTGGAATCTGAACGTTGTTGGAAGCGTAGATTTGGTTTTTAATTGCCCGCATCCAGTCTTTACGTTCTTGGTCGCTGACGCACGCGAAAAACTGTGACTTGACGGATTGTTTTTTCTGCGCGGGGACGATAACAAAGCACCAGTCATGTGACTTGGAGTCCTCTCGTTTCACTCTGTTGTAGCCGGTCAAAGAAAACCGGTTGGAGGCCGTCTTAGAATTCTCGTCGTGGAAGACGTAGACGGCTTCCTTGACCAGAACGATGAACCGGTACGGCCACTTGCCGATGGTCAGTTTGGAGTTTTTCTTGCGGAGGAGGCCGTACTTGATGGCCGCCTTCATCTTGATCAGGTCCTGGGCTGACAGCCCGCCGTCTGACACACGGACGTTACTGGGTGCTGACGTCATCGCGAGATCATCGGCTAAGGATGGAGGTCGTCAAGTGGACCTGGAAATAGAGGTGGAGGTTAGTTGTAAGATCTGAAGTTGTGTGCTTGTTTATTAAAGGTTGGAGAATGTATTCTGAATGTTAGTTGACACATCGGATGTTTTTTGTCTGTCGACAGTTGGAGAATTGGAGGGGAAATTTAGAATGTGTGATCTAGAAGTTTCTGTCTGTTTGTAGAGGGATGGAGAATAAACTTCTCTCTCAACATCTGCTGGGTATCGTGTTAGGTAGTGCTGAGCGGATGTGGCCAGATCAAACAAGGAAAGGCAGACTCAACAATACTCAGATCATTCTTATGCTGGGTACTGGTGTTTACTAGAGCTAGGTGAGAAAATGGGGATGGGGGGAGACGAGTAATTCTAGATTTAAATTCTCGGTCTGGTCTGTATTTGAACCCATAACACCATTCAGTATATGAGGTGTGTTACAGTATACAGTGTCAGTTTTAACACCAACACAACCTAAACAATTTTTCAACACAACCTATCGGGGTTTCAGCACAAAAACATATTTTTATCAACACAACAAACGGATGTGTCGCAAATTTTAATAACTTAAATTGCACTGTCCAGCTCAAAATTAATTAAATAGAGAAATAAAATGTTCATTAACCAATAATATCCTATGTACACTTAAAATTTTAATTGACTACGAATATAAAAAAAATTAGGTAGGAAAATATCGAATACAACTAAGGTTTGCACTGGCCCTGTTCAAACATGTGTATATATACATATACATTATATATATATATATATATATAATGTATATATATATACATATATATATATATATAATGTATATATATATACATATATATATATATATATATATATATACATATATATATATATATATATATATATATATATATATATATATATATATATATATATATATATATATATATATATATATATATATATATATATATATATATATATATATATATATTCCCTTTCTTCTGAGAAACGATTTTTTTCTATTGCAAAGAGAGTGTTGAATTACAAAACTCTGACTGTGACCTCATAATGTGTTATGACATGTGCACTAAAATTGTCTTCGTTTCCCAACGGCTGAAATAATTCTCAACAAGGACCACTTTACCTAGTGAATGTATAAAATCAGGACCGAGGTTTGCACCAAATGTAGTCAGTAAATGAAGAATAAACAGAAGGTTTGAGTAAGCCGGATATGACGTCATGTATCTCAAGTGTGAAAGCTACTGTTTTGTTGGTTTAACGTTTAGATTATTCAGGCTGTTTGGAATTGTATACAGATAGGCTTGAACTCTGATTGTTGCTACGTAAGTCACATGCCAAATAAAATTGACTCTGAGAGATTAAGACTATTGCAGTAAAGGCTCAATGTAGTTGGTTTAATGGGAGAGAGGGTCGTCCATAAATGACGTAAAATTTAGAGATAATTTCCAACGCAACGCCTGCAAAAGTCATGTGTAGACAAAAGCCATGGAAGCAAATCCAGAAAGAAAAGTATGCTGACGTCACAGGCAAAAGGCCATGTGACGCAAAACTACTTGACACGTCTAAAAATAGTCTAGGAGAAAATCCTTTATTTTACAATTAAGACCTAGGAAGAAGAAGTAGATAAAACCAATGTGAAGTTTAGTTCATTAAATTGTGTGAACTAATCCCTAAGTAAGGATAAAGTAACAACCTGAACAGAGCAATTTTGTTTTCTTTATACATCAGAAAAAAATTACCTAATCGAAGTTCATTTTACTTCTTCAGTTTTCATACGAATTATATTATTGTATTTTATATTGATATACTCTATAAAGGTCTATTCTACCACATAACACGATAGTAACATTTACAACTGTCTTTACCTGTCTGATATAAATACCCGAATTTAAATTTTCAAAATTTTCGGTTATTTGAGAAATGTTGTTCTTGCAGTCGTTGGTTTCGGTGTTTGTGTACAACAAAAGTGAATTCGCGCACTAATTTGAGGACCATAATAAAAACAACTCAAAACTGTGACTTGTTTAAAAACTATATATATATATAAATATATATATATATATATATATATATATATATATATATATATATATATATATATATATATATATATATATATATATATATATATATATATATATAATATGTATATACATATATGAAGTTTATCATAAAATTATAATAACATCTTATTATTTCGATATATTCTACTTAATCAAACCCGAAGTAGCTGGTATTTATATTAAAAAATGACAATAATTAGAAATGTGTGATCTCTTCACGTTTGCTTTCTATTTTACAAACATACTGTATTTGCATATGTATGTAAGTAAAACATGTAAGATCTTTTATTTAGTGACTTTATTCTGTGGGGATTTTTTTTCGGTGACTCCATTCGTTGAATTTTTTTTTTTACTAAAGTACGTAGTCCCAACAGGCTGTGTGCAGTCAACCGTGAAATGCTGTAACACACCTTTTGTACAGTGAGTGGGTAGGTGAGTGGGTGGTGCAGCTGGGGAGGGGTGGGGGGGCAGCCAAGGGTTGTTGGTTCTTGTGTAACCAGGTCATGGTTGACTAGGCATGCAGTAACTGGAAGTGGGCATGTTGACGGCGTGTTCCACATGGCTAGGACCGGGTGGAGTGGGGGGGGGGCACATTCAGCTACCGCCTGGCTTAATTCGGTGCCCTGGCGTGTTTACACCCCCACCCCCACCCAGGAAGTATAACTCGGGTAAACAAAACAGAAACCAACACGCTTCAGTAACCAAGGTACCAATCGTTAGGCTACGGCTGCTTCGGGTTACATTAGAGTTTGTGTTCAATTTATTAGGACGCTTAAAGTAGGATCGTTGTCAGATTAAATGTATCGTTAGTTTAGTTCCAACCCCCCCCCCCCCCCACCATCAGTTCATGCTGTAACTTCCCCCACCCCCAGGACTTGTGGTCTTCAAGAAGCAGACTTACATAATTCTACCCTGAAAGACGTGCCAATAATCTGAGATTGGATTTGACAAATGAAAAAAAAAACCTAGTCCATCACCTGTAGACATAAACAGCTGTTATTTAATATCTAGTAGGTGGTGTATGTTGAACACTTGCACAGACATTGAGCATAGACGAGGTTTTTGATTCGTGTCCGAGTTAAATTGGCTTATACCGGGTTTGTAGTGTCTCGTTTTTGTCTTATTAAAACATTGTTTACAGATTACTATATGTACCATATGTCATGACGGAATGAATGGCCGGATACAAGTATACCTGTCATATCAGATGACCAGATGACCAGATACACACATACACCTGTCATAGCTGATGCTAACATACACCTGCCATATCGGATGACCAGATACACCCATAAACCTGTAATAACATAAAAGCCCTCCACCCCCACCCCCATACACGCACACATCGCCATTCTTTCGAACACACACCTCATTAAAACCCCATACATATCCCAATACATCAAACAGATCAATACAACATACTCACACATATACACTGTACTAAAACACACATATTAACACATACTCATACACACACATACTCACACACAACCTACTCTCCCACACATACACTCACATACACACAACTTACACACACATCCTCCATACATACAAAAATACACACACATATACTCTCTCTCACACACACCCTACTCTCCCACACATACACTCACATACACACAACTTACACACACACATCCTCCATACATACAAAAATACACACACATACACATACACACATATACTCTCTCACACACACACACCCTAGTCTCCCACACATACACACAAATACTCACGCTCACAAAAACAGAGAGTCTACCGCCGCCCCCCCCCCCCCCCTCCCCCGAACGAAATGAAATGTATATAGAAAATATATACTTTTAACAGTGTCCACATTTTAAGTCATGTGATTTTCTTGTAAAAAGTGTATATATTATATATATATATATATATATATATATATATATATATATATATATATATATATATATATATATATATATACAATAGAAAAGCATTTAAAGAAACCTAAACACAAAAAAACGACAATAAGCTTCCCAAACTTACAATAGTCAGAATCACAGAGCAGACGGCACCGGTCCAACATGAAACCACGTGACCCTACTCTCCCAGCACAAGACACCCGGAGTTCTTGGAGCGGTTTATCAATTTATGAACTAACACCCCCAGTCCAGAATAACTCAGCCGACACCGCTATTGCCAGGCACTAATCTAATCACAGACCACTAGAGCCCTTTTCTTACATTCCCAATCTACTGATTTTTTTCTCAACCTATCTACTTCCGGGTGGCTCAGCCGGTTTCCCCCATATCCTATCCTTCGTTGGTCTCCGTCTATTTATAACTCGTCCATTCGCGTATTTTTAAACCGACGCAATATCGAATCGTTCACGGGTGAAACTTGTTTTGTAAACAAGAATAGACCGCGGCATACATAGACAACCTTCATGCCTGCTATGTTTACAAAAAACTTTCAGTAGGGGGTCTATAGACAGTAACAGATTTTTAAAAATAAATTAGACAGGTAAATCGTATTCAGATAATTGATCGGGATTTTCCAGTCGATATCTTAAATGAATAGGCTAAACGGATGTATTGCTGTTTTAAAAGTTTAGCTTTTTAAATAAAAAAAATCAATTAAGTAAAAGCCTACAACAAATTAATAATTTATTTCAGTTTTTAATAATGCAGTTTCTGATGTATAAAATTTTCTTTTTGAACCGGATGGTCCATGGGGCAAGTGAAGTAGAGTTCACCTGTTTCTAAGACTTCAACATATGAAAGGATAGTGTGGTCAGCACTATACCCAACCGACTTAGATTTCCCTAACATGAGTTAGGTACCCAACAGAGCTGGGTGGACCCTGGAACTTAAAGCCGGATTCGAACTCGAGACTTTCGGGTTAGCAGTCTAGCGCTCTACTTCTATTTAATTAATGCTTGGCTTAGTCGTCTAATACGTTTTGTCATTCTGCTAATCTTAATTAACTTTCCACTAGCGTAGATTTGTAATTTTGGTAAGTGCAGGGAAGTGGAAGTTTAAGAGTGTGTGTGTGTGGGGGGGGGGGGGGTTACCCATGTAGAACAGGTAAGGAAGTGACGTCACGTGGTGAGGATGTAATATACATGTTCGAATCCAGAGACACTTTTTTTGTATTGACGCACAACTGAAATGTGATCCTTGGTTAAATGTTCCGTGATATTCTCAATATAGACAGTCAGGATGGTTAGGTTTTAAGGATGGGGATGGGTGGGGAAGGGAAAGTTAGTTACCTAACTGTTTGGTTAAAGGCTTCACAAATTACTTCAGTAATTTGATTTTAAACACGTTTTTTTTTATCAAGAATCTGCAAGTACACCAAACTAACATCAATTTACCCGAGGAGGTTTCTCTTTATAACAGCCCAAGATGCATAACAGTGAACGCCACAGGGAAGTTAGCCTTCTGCTCCGAGTATCACGTGGGCTCAACTTAAAGCGTTACCCAAAATAGAGTTCGGCGGAGAGGTGTAACAGGGGCCATTTGGTCCCCATGGGATTCACATGGTTAAGTCAAGTAAGTCAAGTAAGTCAAGTAAGTCAAGTAAGTCAAGTAAGTCAAGTAAGTAAGTCAAGTAAGACAAGTAAGTCAAGTAAGTCAAGTAAGTCAAGTAAGTCAAGTAAGTCAGGAAAGTCAAGTAAGTCAAGTAAGTCTATGTCAAGTAAGTCAAGTAAGTCAAGTAAGTCAAGTAAGTCAAGTAAGTCAAGTAAGTCAAGTAAGTCAAGTAAGTCAAGTAAGTCAAGTAAGTCAAGTAAGTCAAGAAAGTCTAGTAAGTCAAGTATGTCAAGTAAGTCAAGTAAGTCAAGTAAGTCAAGTAAGTCAAGTAAGTCAGGTAAGTGAAGTAGGTCAAGTAAGTCAAGTAATTTTGGACAACAAGCAGGGATCAGCGTGGTCGAGTCGGTTAAAGCCCATGGTTGCTAAACCGAAAAGTATCAAGTCCCGACCCCCGGGCAGATGAGGCTCGATATCTGAGGACAGCCACTCTTCTAGGAGATACAACTCCAAAATCAAACACCTGCTGCCTTGTAGTTTGTTCTTGGTTGGGCAAAGGCTTTGGAAGCAAATCCAAAAAGAAAAGCATGATGAAATATCGGAGTCCACGGCCTATAAGACGCATTACTCGTTGACACGTAATCAGAGTTTCTTCCAGGCATCTCTTCGGGGGTGCAAAGCCCCCCCCCCCCCCTCGAAAAAATTCTACCGCCCCCCCCCCCCCCCCGAACGAAATGAAATTTATATAATTTATATAGAAAATATATACTTTTAACAGTGTCCGCCCCCCCCCCCCCACCCCCGAAGAAAGTCTACCGCCCCCCCCCCCTCCCCGAAAATTTCAAGTGCCCCCCCCCCCCCCCCGGAGAAAAAAGTCTGGAAGAAACGCTGCACGTAATACTTAATTAAAAAATTAAGAACCAAGAATAAGACAACAAGCAGAGAATACAAAGCATAAAGAAAATAAAATTCTATCTCAGCATTGCCATGCAGATGAAGTAGAGTTCCTCTATTTGTTTTTGACTCGGCCCATGAAGCGATTGTAGAGTTAGCACTATAACGGCCGCCTTGATTTCCACGAGTCATCAGAGCTTGGTGGAGTCAGGAGACTCCGGGAACCGAACTCAAAACGTACAGGTTAACAATCGTGTGCTCTACAGTGTTTCTTTCAGGCATATTTTTTTGGGGGGGGGGGGGGGGAGTACACTCCCCCCCCCCCCCCCCCCGAAGCACTTCTAACGCCCCCACCCCTTCCCTCCTCCCCGAAACGAAATTTAATGTATACAGAAAATATATACTTATAACACTTTCCACCCCCCCCCCCCCCCCGAAAATTTAGTCCGTCCCCCCCCCCCCTCCCCCCGAAAGATTTAAGTGCCTCCCTCCCGGAGAAAAAAGTCTGAAAGAAACACAAGTGCTCTACCATGTCGCCGACGCAGACTACACACACTTGGCTAGAAACAAATAAAGTAATTAATTACTGAATAAATTAAAATTATTTCTCACCAAACAACGTCACTGTCACGTAAAATCCAGATCTTAAAATAGGTCACTTTACCCGTATAACAATCTAAAAATAGACACTCTAGATTTGCTTAAACTGCTTGCGTATTTGTTCATCTCGCGTTGGTCGTTGACACCGGAGAGTTTCAGTTAAGGGGACAAAACCGAGGTTTGAAATGTAAATATACAGTAGTCAGCGGTAACAATAGAAGGTTTATTGACGGTGTAACGATGAAGACTAGTACTTGTAACACAACATGGTATTACTTGCTGACGAAAACGGTTAGCCTAAGCATTGCGACATTTACTATAAGGAAGTCAAAAGGTTTAGAAGATCATATCTCATTAATGTTTTTTGTTCTGAAATTAATTATTACAGGTATATTGGACCGAGAATGAATGGTGGAAGTGGCGTCTTTTAGAAATTCCGAAAATTATTTTTGACTTGATTTGCAGTCGTCGTCAATTAAAATGTTTCTTATAAAACGTTTGTGTGGTTGTAATTTATATAATGAAGTTACGTTTGACTTTCGGTTTCGGCAGGGCTATGGTTAGTGTGAGTGTGTGTGAGTGTGTGTGAGTGTGATTGTGGTATAAGTGTGGGTGTGTGAATGTGAGTGTGGTGGTAGTGTGAGTGTGAGTTTGAGTGTGTATGAGGGTGGGTGTAAGTGTGAGTGAGTGTGTGTGTGTGAATGTGAGTGTGTGAGTGTGGTGTAAGTGTGAGTGTGTGTGTGAATGTGAGTGTGATGTAAGAGTGAGTGTGAGTTTGAGTGTGTATAAGGGTGAGTGTGTGTGAGTGTGTATGTGTGAGTGAAAATGTGTTAGTGTGAGTACGTGTGAGTGTGTATGAGTGTGTGTATGAGTGTGTGTAAGTGTAAGGCGAGTGTAGGTGTAGGTGTAGGTGTAGGTGTAGGTGTAGGTGTAGGTGTAGGTGTAGGTGTAGGTGTAGGTTTAGGTGTAGGTGTAGGTGTAGGTGTAGGTGTAGGTGTAGGTGTAGGTGTAGGTGTAGGTGTAGGTGTAGGTGTAGGTGTAGGTGTAGGTGTAGGTGTAGGTGTAGGTGTAGGTGTAGGTGTAGGTGTAGGTGTAAGGGTAAGGGTGAGGGTGAGGGTGAGGGTATGGTAAAGGGTTAGGGTTTCGGTTAGGGTTAGAGTTATTGTTAGGCCGGTTAGGCTAGGGTAGTTATACAGTGTAGCAGTGTCAGATTGAGGTTACTTTTTGTATATAAGAAATCGAAGGCCAGTTAGCTATTGATTTTCTCGAATTTAAAAATGCTAGGTTTCCATCCGTCAATATTTTCTTAAATGAGACAAGGTCATTAGGCTTTACGCATGAATAAAATATTATCTCCTTTAAAGAAGGATACACTTATTTAGAGATATTTAAAATTTAAGTCTACTTGAGTTCAACAACCAGCCAGGTTAAAGGTGAAAAGGTCATGCTCTACATTTGACGCTTGTCGAAAACAACAAGAATGCGTCCTTAACTCAATGTACGCAGTACTGATAACATATTGTTTGTAGCAACAGGTAACATTTGTAACACAAACATTGACCAAAGACTCTTTTCGTGATGTTTTATTTTAACTAATACAATCTCTTTTTTTTTTCGAAAAATATAATCAATTTGTATCATCTTTTTTTTGTAAGGGATGAAGTGGTTTGGAAGAAAAGAGCATGATTTCTAACTCCTAATTGTCTGAGTTCGAATCCCCAGGCAGATGAGGTTTAGTGTTAAACGTTAAATGTGATTACGTTTATACAGCAATGATTTCGAACATTTTTCTTAATCTCGTAAAGGACAGCAACCCATCTTTTATAAGAGAAGAGAACTCCAAAGTCAAACATTTTAACCAATTAGCGAGTCCAAGCCTGCATAGACCAATTAGCCAGTATGACATAGACTTCTTTCTTCTTCTTCTTCGTTCTTAATTTTTAGTGTTGGATGGGATCGAGCCTTATCTGCCAGAGGGTTTGAACTCGAGACTTTTTCGCATTTATCATCCATTACCTTTGGCCGACTCGACCATACTTCCATCACAATTAAGGATACGTGTCAACTGGTTATGCGCCATTGAGGCCATTGACTCCGATTTCAGCCTGCTTTACTTTTTGGATTTGCTTCCATAGCCTTTGTCTAACCAAGAACAAGCTACAAGGCAGAAGTTGTTTGATTTTGGAGTTGTCTCTCCTAGAAGAGTGGCTGTCCCCAGCTAACAAGCAGGGGCGGAACTACAGTGCCGCCAGACCCCGCAATGCGGGGGGGGGGGGGCCACGCCAATTAGGGGCCCACAGCCGACCATAATAAATTTTTTATTGTTAAAAAAAATAATTTTCGTGCATTTTTGACTTGATGGTTGTTTTGTAAAAAAAAAGATTACCGTAGCTGCGGTTGGATTATCTTTATTCTATAGACAACACCCCACGCTCTTGTATATTCTCTTTCCCTTTGTTTTTAAACCACTCTGAAAGCCGTCCTCTTTCTCCTACAATCAAACTTATCAAAGATAAGCAAACGTTCACGCCACCTCCATTACTTATTTCCCTTTTTTAAATAGTCAAATAGGGGTGCTCATAAGCTCCTTGTAATATATTTGTACTAAACAAATTAAAAAGCAATTATTTCTCTGAATGATTATTTTTTATTAACTACTTAAAGAATGACACTGTATAAAAAGGAAATGTAATTAATATTAATAATATAAATACAAAAATTAAATAAAAATAAACATAACACGAGACACCATTACTTATACAAAGCTGTCATGGTTTATATTCTTTTGACCGACTAGAGGTTGAGAGGTCTTATAGAAGAGATAAAATAAAACCGATTTTCACAGAACACACTAATGCACTTACACACATGACATGTTATTGTAATTTGTTTTAAATAAAAAAAAACCCGAACAGGCCTGCAATGAGTATCCCATGTTTGTATTTTGTATATATATATATATATATATATATATATATATATATATATATATATATATATATATATATATATATATATATATATATATATATATATATATATATATATATATATATATATATATATATATATATATATATATATATATATATACATATATATACATATATATATATATAGGGGGGGGGGCCTAAAAATTTTTTTGCGGGGTGGCCCTTTTTTTCTAGTTCCGCCACTGCTAACAAGCCTCATCTGCCCAAGGGTTCGAACTCGAGATTTTTCGGTTTAGCAACCATGAGCTTTTACCGACTCGACCACGCCGACCCCTTTGACATGGACTAATTAGCCAGTATGTCCTGACATAGACTAATTAGCCAGTATGTGTTGACATAGACTAATTAGCCCGTCAGGTTATTTAAACGGACTGAGATGCCTGACATCAAACTACCCGTAACTATGACAACAGGGCATCAGCATAATCTGTCAGTTAAGAGCCCCTCCACTACATCCTTCTTTCAACTAAGACAGAATTCCTACCTACATCATTGCCCAAATTTATCTTGGGTGGGCAACTGATTGACAATGATCTGGTAGGTATGATTGTTATATATCAAAGATAATTTTTTTTAAATTACTTTTAAGGGACGGCGTGGCCTAGCCGTAGAGTGCTAGAGTGCTAGCAAAAAATCTCGAGTTCGAATCCGGGTTTAAGTCAGTAGAACGTCCCTGAGTCCACGCAGCTCTGATTGTGTACATAACTCACGCTAGGGAAAGTCAAAGCGGTTGAGCATAGTGCTGACCACACTATCCTTTCATATGCCGAGGTCACAGAAACAAGTGAACTCTACTTCGTGTACCCCATGACCGTCATGTTAAAAAAGTGAACTTTACTGTATTTAATAGGGAAAAGTTGGGTTTTTTTAAATCGTTTTTTTCGGTCCGTTAGGTCAGCTTCCATGAAATCACCTACCGCCCTGAAATTAAATGGGGGGGGGGGGTGGACACTTACATTTTTGAGAGGCGAACAAAGGTTGCAATGTAGACCTATATTTTCTATATAAAATAGTTCTTCTATTTAGTTCGAGTGGTAGTGGTGGTGGCGGGGGGCGGGGGGGGGGGGGGGGAAGCGGGTTAGACTTGCTGTGCCCCCCCCCCCAACTCGAAGAGATGCTTAAAAGAAACTCTGCCTTAAAGTATGTAACTACGACGCTGCCAGGCTGCAAAGATTAAAATAAACTGATCAGTACTTACAGTTTTGCACGAAACTCTAGCAGGTATCTTTTTAAGTGCTAAATTTTATCTGATTAAAAATGTCCTTTCCTTCCTAAGAAGTCGATAATACTTGTTTGTAGCCTAACTGTAAAAACTGATTTATCTTTGTAGGCACCCATAATTCCATTAATGTCACGAGTTCACAACTTTTATGTAAACAAAGCAAAGCTATCGTAATGCGCATGTCAATAGGGTCGCCGTGTATTTACTTCCTGTTCCACTTACCCCCAGTTCTTCCATTTCTGATTCGCTCTACCAGTTTTGGAGCATTTAAAAAAAAAAATAACCCGGTTGTTATCGATAGATTACAAAAGAAATTATAGATCCTTAAAGACGCGGGTTATTTTTACAAGCTTTTATTTAGTTCTCAATGTTTGTTCGTTTATTCGTTTGTTCGTGTGTTCGTTTGTTCGTTTGTTCGTTATTTCGTTCGTTTGTTCGTTTGTTTGTTCGTTTGATTGTTTGTTTGTTTGTTTGTATGTTTGTTCGTTTGTTTGTTTGTTTGTTCGTTTGTTCGTTCGTTTGTTCGTTTGTTTGTTTGTATGTTTTTTTTTGTTTGTTTCTAGTTTGTGGGTTTGAGGCAAATCTTGTAACTCAATTTTGACCCACTTCTAATTGAGTGATTTTGTTCAAACTTTCCAGATAAATTCCACTTCAATGACAATATAAATCTAACTATTTTTTAATTTAATTAGATGATAAGTTGGTCATTAAAAATTAATTAAACGGTTTCGAAACTAAGGGGAGATAACAAAAAACGGATTGTGTTTTAAAGCAACTATTTATAAAAGCTTTGGTTGCTAAAATCTGTAAACGATCTCATGAGCGACCAAAGCTTTTATTAAAGAAAGTAGATTAGCTTTATTTTCTTATTCTCAGTGCATTTAAAAGCTTGTTGCTAAAAAATGTTTTTTATACTTGTTTTATATAGTCTTTTTTCTTCTTGACTTGTGGATCATAAATCAAGTCTTTTGTGCATGTTTATTTCATATCTCCAGCCATGTTAATCCAGGCTCTCTTATTTCCTTTACAAAAGATCAATTCAAATACATCATTGCCTCGTTTCCCCTTTTCTCAAAGAATTACACTCTAGTATCTGCATTGTTGTGTTATGATGTAATTTTGAAATTCGTATAAAAGTTTCCTCCCGGCACCTCTTCGCGGGCGGGGTGGGGGGGGGGGGCTGGGAAAGAGCCACCCAGAAGCAAGTCCATCGCCTGCTCCCCCCCCCAGTCCGTCCAGACAAAATAGGAAAAAAATAAAATGTATGTAGAAAAAAATATTTCACCAGCGTCTTTTTTCCAGGAAATTTAAATTGTGTATAAAATCAGCGTTACTTTTTGGTATGCACGGAGAAATGCCGGGAGAACGATCGGAGGCAGAAAAGGCTTGGAGAACGATAGGGCGCTGAGATGCCGATAGAGAACGAACGGTTGTTTGCAGAGATCGCAGTGAGGACAGAGACAGAACGATACTTGATAACAGTGCCAAATGAGTTGACCACGGCCTAGAGGTAGCATTCCTAAGCCGTGGATGAATACCTAATGGACAATTGGTTACACCCCTCTGTTGCATTTGGGTGGTGCTAGGTGGGGTTGAACAATACCTAATAAAGAACGTCTCTCTCTCTCTCTCTCTCTCTCTCTCTCTCTGTATATATATATATATATATATATATATATATATATATATATATATATATATATATATATATATATATATATATCCCCCAGTCCCCAACCACACATCTCAAGTGAAGTCTACTTTGGACATTTCTCTTCAGTTGGGCCCATAACAATCTTCAACATTTGTTATCTCCCTTATGGCGTACATAGCAAATCTTCTCAGGCCAAGAGACGATGTTACCACCTTTGTTGAAAATCTGAATCTTCCTGCTATCAGGGTTGATAACTCTCAAAGTCAACGAGTCTAACAGGTTAACATTAGAACTGAAGATCTACATTTTCTTGTGGAGGGATACTGGTCTGAAGGTTGTGATGGTGCCTGGGATATAAGAGGTCTTGTAGGTTGTTGGTCAATACGTAGAAAGGATTGTAGGTTTTTTATATATATATATATATATATATATATATATATATATATATATATATATATATATATATATATAGTATTATGTATTGAGACAGACTGGCCCTTGAAGAAAGATTAACCAAATATTAAATGCAATGAGAAAAACAGTAGATAGACAACACTGATTAATAAGAGAAGAATGTTGAATTTATTTTCCATAAAAAACATTTGGCAGTACATACACATAGACTCATGACATTTTAAGTCAAATCTCATTCATATATGCTCAATTTAAACTCAAATCTCATTTAGATATGCTCAATTTAAACTCAAATTTCATTCAGATATGCTCAATTTAAACTCAAATTTCATACAGATATGCTCAATTTAAACTCAAATATCATTCAGATATGCTCAATTTAAACTCAAGTCTCATTCAATATGCTCAATTTAAACTCAAATCTCATTTCGATATTCTCAATATAAACTCCCATAGAAGCATACAGATATACACAAAGAACTATGATATAAATCTATTGATCGTTAAAAATATACCCCCCAAAAAATCAATAATTCTGCCTATACTGTGTGCTACTATTTATAGCAGACAAGAACACACTAAACACTAAAATTACAACATGTCAAGTTACTTAACACGAGCATTGTATTACATAAATGACGATGTGCACTTAATAACAAGTCCATTGTGTTACACAATTACGGTACAGATTTTTGTTTTAATGTTCGCGTTACATTTTTTTCCATTCGACAGTTAACCTTTTAAACCTGGGTTACGGTCGACAGTTAACCCTTTATACGTGGGTTACAGTCGACAGTTAACCCTTTAAACCTGGGTTACAGTCGCGTAGCTAGGGTGGCAATGAATGAGGGGGGGGGGGGGGAGTCCACCTACCATGACAGTTTTACCCTATATAAATGATATATTAGAGGGGTGTCCGTCCACCTATTGGTATGAGTTTACCCTATATAAATATTGTATTGACAAATAATTGAAGGGGTGTTCGGCTAGTATGACAAATCAAAATGTCGTTAAAGACTTGGTACAAGTGAGGTCTTTGGACTATCAGTAGGTCGTTAGGAATTCAATACGAGAGGTCTTTGTACTATCAGTAGGTCGTTAGGAATTCAATACGAGAGGTCTTTGGACTATCAGTAGGTCGTTAGGAATTCAATACGAGAGGTCTTTGTACCATCAGTAGGTCGTTAGGAATTCAATACGAGAGGTCTTTGGACTATCAGTAGGTCGTTAGGAATTCAATACGAGAGGTCTTTGTACCATCAGTAGGTCGTTAGGAATTCAATACGAGAGGTCTTTGGACTATCAGTAGGTCGTTAGGAATTCAATACGAGAGGTCTTTGTACCATCAGTAGGTCGTTAGGAATTCAATACGAGAGGTCTTTGGACTATCAGTAGGTCGTTAGGAATTCAATACGAGAGGTCTTTGTACCATCAGTAGGTCGTTAGGAATTCAATACGAGAGGTCTTTGGACTATCAGTAGGTCGTTAGGAATTCAATACGAGAGGTCTTTGTACCATCAGTAGGTCGTTAGGAATTCAATACGAGAGGTCTTTGTACCATCAGTAGGTCGTTAGGAATTCAATACGAGAGGTATCTGAACTATCAATAGGCCGTTAGGAATTCAATAAAACAGTGGTCTTTGAACTATTTGTTGGTGGATGTTAGTAGCTAGGTGTTAGTGAGGTCTTTGTTTACTTCACCTTTTTGCCCAGATACTTAGTAGATATAGAGACACATGGGACCGCCCTATAAATACTTGGTAGATATAGAGACACATGGGACCGCCCTATAAATACTTGGTAGATATAGAGACACATGGGACCGCCCTATAAATACTTGGTAGATATAGAGACACATGGGACCGCCCTATAAATACTTGGTAGATATAGAGACACATGGGACCGCCCTATAAATACTTGGTAGACATAGAGACACATGGGACCGCCCTATAAGTACTTGGTAGATATAGAATGGGACGGAAAGTGTGGCGTAACAGTATCAGATAAGCAACAACGGTATGTGTATGTTTACACAGATAAGTGAAATCAATAAAAAAACTACAAAAAATAAAAAAATGAATATCACAGAGTCGGCTACAACATAACTATCTAAATTATCTTTGGAAAAAAAGTTGAATGTTTTTTTAACTAGATGTGCTGTCTATTTACAGTTTTCGTCTTAACATTTATATATTTCAAATTGTTCATCCACAATTAAGTGGATGGAAATCTCAACACCAGAAAATGCTTCCACCAATTGTCTTTATCGGCACTGCCGTACACGACGGTTAAATGTTTAGGATTAATAACTTAGTTTATGTCTTTAAGTTTTATTCTTCAAATGATAAAACTTATCTTTAGAGTTAAAATATTTTAACTAACTTGGTGAAAACCTCGCTTTAGAATAAAATCTGTACTGGGCAATGGGGTTTTTGTGTAATTCTCTAGCAGTTCGTCTATAGTAGCGAAAAAAGCGTGGCTGTCTAGAGAATACTTGGGCTTCTTCCCGCGGATTTTGAACTCCTTAACGTGCATATTGCTGGTGAGGTAGGCAAGGACCTTCTCGTCGCCTTGACGTGACTGACGGATCAGGTATGTGCCCGGCTCCCCCTTGCCTTGCAGCCTGCGGATCATCTCGTCACGGTCCGGGTTTTTGTCTTCAACCGTGCACAGCTTTTCTAAGGAGATCTTCGCTTCGAATGTCTCAGGATAGTCGTATGTCTCTTGCAGCTGTAACTGTTGAGTGTTGACGTATTCCGGAGGTTCTGGTTCGCAGACTTCACTATAACGAGGTGGGGGTTTGCTTGGCGCGTATTCTAAAGGAACATCCGGGCATTTTCGTCTGATTACTTCATTCGTTGCCTGCGAGTCGACTACGTCATAGGTCTCTCCCTGTGAGTTATCGTCTATATTCCCCGCGTCGTTATATCCGCTAGGTATCGTTAACGACATCGACCTCTGGGTAACGATACTCCCCCCGCTTCCCGAATCAGACGACGTATCAATGTCTGCATCAGGCTTGGCGTGGTTCGGATCCCCAGAGTTAAAAATCGGTTGTTCTAACTCGTTGTATTCGTCGGCGTCTTCCTCGGTTAAAGACAGCGACCTGAGTTTATCTTTGTAGGTGGTGTCGGGTTTGGTGATGTTGTTGGCGTGGTACATCTGGTTCCTAATGGCTTTCATCCACTCCAGCCGCTCCTGGTCGCTGACGCAGGCAAAGGTTTTTAATTTGACTGACTCCATATTACTGGCCGGGATGATAGAGAACGCCCAGTCTTGACCTTTGCCCTTGGTTGGTTCCCGTTTGATTTGGTTGTAGCCCTGTAAATAAAAAACTGACTTCACGGCTTTGGCGTTCTCGTCGCGATAGACGTACAGGCAGTCGTTGACCAGGATGGCGAACCTTCGAGGCCACTTGCCGAAGTTTTTTAGGCCCGGTTTTTTACGCAGTAGTCCGTATTTCAGCGAGAATGATGGGGCCTTCATGGCGTCCTGCGCTGATAATGATGGTTTCAAAAGACGAGAGTTCGCGGGTAGCGTCGCCATTGTTCGGTTTGATGGTGTTCACATCAAAAAGGAGATTCTGGAAATAAAAATCACAAAATTAAAAAAACAACTTTAAAATATAAAAACTAAAATGTAAAAAAAAAACATAAAAATATAAAAAATTTAAAATGTAGGAAAACATTAAAATATAAAAACTTAAAATATAGGAAAACATAAATACATAACAGCCAGTAGCGTACGCAGGGGGGGGGGGGGGGGGGGGGAAGCTGCCGCTCCCCCTCTGGCCAATTTCAGCAAAGTGGCGCCTTTTTGGAAACTTTTTAAACTCAAAGTTTTAAACAATGATATTTGTTAAAAAATATTTTTGGTCGACACATCTATGTAAATCACAACATTTCGTTTCATGCAGCAATTAAGCATTATTGTACTAGTCTAGTAGTGTCTACGTTTACAACACGTATTAACAGCTGCATCAGTTTGCCATTCTAAAAATAACCATTACGATGCATTGAAATGTTTAAAAAACCTCTACGGTAGTACCATTTGGCAAGAGGGGTGTTAAGTTTAAGGCAACTGTATAATGTATTTGCTTACGAATAATTCAATTAGAAAATGTTATACATAAAACTTCACACATAATTACTTTATATATATATATATATATACAGTTACAACCCTCCTCCCCCATGGACCCCTTTGTAAAAAAAAATATTGTCATAATACCACTGCTACTTATTTAAATCTATTTCTGTAATATATATTTGTGTAATATATATTTGTGTAATATATATGTATATTTAGAACAGTCATCTAAAAACTGACGCTATGTTCACTCTGAGTTGGTTCACCCCCCCCCCCCACACACACACACACTTCACCACCACAATTGTGTAGAGCGACATTAATGCCACACCTAGGTATACACTGGGTTGGATAATTGACCTAAAGTGAACGGACAGAGGTGAATGAAGTTGAACCCCCCCCCCCCCCCCCATACCCACCCCGAACTGATCTGTTAAGTACATGTAGAAAAACGCATAATGATGTACCAAAGTACCGTGCCGCCAGAAAATTAGCTTTTTAAACGTAAAACTCTGTGAATATTGTTATAGTAATTACCAGTAAAAAGGTGTGTGATCAATACAGTGATCTAACCCATACCTATCACTAAGTTAAAAAAAGATCTTTAAAGAACTCAAAGAAGCAGTAGTTAACTAAAATATATGATCTGAACTAAAAGACCGATATTTAGTTAAGTGTAGGCTGTTATTCCGAAAGTTTTTCTATTTTATCGAAAAGCGTGGTTTTATACTTTCATTATGCTGTAATACTTAAGCATTTATGATGACGATATATTAAATTCTGATTATAGACAAAAACATTTTGTAAACACGAATAGTGTTAAACAATTTCACTATATTCAAAAGTAATTATTTATTTGTTTGACATTTATAATTAAATGTGTAGGTATATACATATTTATATTAAGAGAGTGATTATTTCCCCTATTTCACTTGTCTTAAATAATTTCCCAGGAACTATTATGTAAGAATTTTTTTTTTTGCAAGAATTACAAAACAGATTGTGTTACGTTCTTTGTTTTTGGTTGTAGTGTAAATATATATATATATATATATATATATATATATATATATATATATATATATATATATATATATATATATATATATATATGTATATATATATATATATATAAATATATATATATATATATATGTTTAGATTGATACAATTTTTTTGTTTTGTCGGCCTACATTATGTGTTTTTTCTTATTTCTTTAGAGTGCTACTTTCAATTTATTTTACATCATAGCGAAGTTATATATATATATATATATATATATATATATATATATATATATATATATATATATATATATATATATATATATATATATATATATATATATATATATATATATATATATATATATATATATATATAATAAACGTATATAGAACGTGTTAAAAATTCGGCGCCTTTTTTTGCTCTTCTCTTTTCGCTCCCCCTACAACGAAAACCTGGATACGCCTCTGATAACAGCCCTCATGTATGTAAGTTAACATAAAAACAAAACCATTAAATGTAGGAAAACATTAAATATAAAACAACCTCAAGTGCAGGAAAATATAAAATTAAAATCCTCAAATATAGGAAGAAAATTAAAATACTGAGAAAATAAAATAAAAATAAGAATAAAAACATAAAATGGATGGAAACAAAAATAAAATCCTCCAGAAACTAATTGAATCTGAACATTATACATCTAAAGTTTAAAATGTTTAAAATGTGTCTTATATGACGTTGTTCGTGTAATCACTCTTTTAATATGCAGTTTTATGCACTTAGATTTAAAACTATAGCACAGCTAGAAGTCTACGTGCGTTTTTTTTTTTTATTACTGCCAAAGTATTTTCATTTAATTAAATTTTTTTTTTTTTTTAAAATGAGCCTTTCTGGTTTCCAGAAAACCCTCTGAATATTTAAGGTTTTCTTGAAAACTAAATAGCTCATTTTTAAAAGATATATTTCTAAATTTAATGGACTTAATATGTAACTTAATACACCCTATCAAAATTCACACCATACAATGTTACGCTTCAGTTGTTCTGTGTAATGGGATTTTAAAAAGTCGGAAAATCTTTGTACACGAAACGCAAACTTTGGTGAAGGAATTCCCTATGTCGTTTACGTGGATTTGATCATCAGATAGAGGTTTTGATCGGTTTCCTGTGGTGGTGGTGGAGGGGGGGGGGGGGGGGAAACTGGTAGCTAAATTGTTCAGTAAACTAAAACATTATACACTAGGATGCATTTTTAAAATAAATTTTAAGGTGTTTAAAATGTGTTTTTAGTTATATCTGGGTCGAAGGTCACTTGGGTTTTATAAAAATGGGTCGCCACCGGATCAATATTTAGGACCCAGTGAGATGGAAGGTATATTAGGATACTTACGTTTGTTTTGACAGTATCCTGGAGTGTGTGTAGTTGAACTTGTAGGGGGGGGGGGGGGCGTTTTTATTTACATGTGTGTGAGTGGGGTTATTTTTTTGTTTACTTATGTGTGCGTGTGGGGGGGGGGGGGGTATTAACTTGTGTGAGTGTAGGGTTATTTTATTTACTTGTGTGTGAGTGCGTGGGATTATATTATTTAATTGTATCTGAGTGAGTCTGGTTGTTTTGTCTACTTGAGTGTGAGTGTGGTGATTATTTTGTTAACTTTTGTGTGAGTGTTTATTTTTTAGGTTTATTACTTGTATGTGTGTGTGGGGGGAGGGGGGCTCGATTACTTGTGGGTGTAAAATGTGGGTTATTTTGCTTATTTATATGAGGGGGGGGGCTTTGTTTACTAGTGTGAGTTTGGAGTCATTTTAGTTGTTTGTGTCTGAGTGAGTTTGTTTATTTTTTCTTACTTGTTTGTGAATGTGGGATTGTTTTGTTTACTTGCGTATGGGTATCGGGTTATTTTGTTTACTTGTGTGTATTTAGCGGGTAATTTTGTTTACTTGAGTTTGTTTAGCGGGTAATTTTGTTTACTCGTGTGTGTTTAGTGGGTTATTTTGTTTACTTTCACTTATGGGCGTAACGTTCAATTATTGTTCCATGACAAATGGACCAAACACTATATTCCGACTAATTAATTATATTTGAGAAAATTGTTGTAAAACTCTCAATAATCTGCTCAAATGTGGTTATGAACTGTTAAGAGCTATGACTAAACAATTTAAACCAGTTACTTAACTGTTGAAATTTTAAAAATTGTGAATTTAGCTGTTTCTTCTCTTACTGCATTAAAAATTACCGGCATAAAACTGTTTACCATGTTATATAAGATTCGTATTTTTGTTTTACAGAAACCTCAACATTTCAACAACAAAAAATAATTATTAACTAGAGGTTTTTCGAAAGCAAATTTAGTATATTTTAGATCTTGCAGAAAATCATTTACCATTTATGCCTCAGCTGGCCATAAGATTGTAACTTCAACACATAGCTAAACATTTTTTTTACTGCTACACAGTCTTATCAACGAACACACACCTCATAAATCAAGCATGTATTCATTCATTTTTATGGTAAAACTGGCTAAGCTGTATAAAGCCACAGTGTTAGGTTTAAGTTTGAATTAAAATATAGATAGTTTATAGATGTATTTTAAACTAATTGAATATATGAATCGAACTGTATAAAGCCACAGAGTTAGGTTTAAGTTTGAATTAAAATATAGATAATTTATAGATGTATTTTAAACTAATTGAATATATGAATCGAACTGTATAAAGCCACAGTGTTAGGTTTAAGTTTGAATTTTAAAAAATCGATACTTTAAAGCCGTATTTTAAACTAATTGAATATATGAATCGAACTGTATAAAGCCACAGAGTTAGGTTTAAGTTTGAATTAAAATATAGATAATTTATAGATGTATTTTAAACTAATTGAATATATGAATCGAACTGTATAAAGCAACAATGTTAGGTTTAAGTTTGAATTAAAATATAGATAATTTATAGATGTATTTTAAACTAATTGAATATATGAATCGAACTGTATAAAGCAACAGTGTTAGGTTTAAGTTTGAATTAAAAAATCGATACTTTAAAGCTGTATTTTAAGCTAATTGAATATATGAATCGAACTGTATAAAGCCACAGTGTTAGGTTTAAGTTTGAATTAAAAAATCGATACTTTAAAGATGTATTTTAAACTAATTGAATGTATGAATCGAACTGTATAAAGCCACAGTGTTAGGTTTAAGTTTGAATTTAAAAATCGATACTTTAAAGCTGTATTTTGAACTAATTGAATATATGAATCGAACTGTATAAAGCCACAGTGTTAGGTTTAAGTTTGAATTAAAAATTCGATACTTTAAAGCTGTATTTTAAACTAATTGAATATATAAATCGATCTGATTTCGGACGACAGTGTGTGTTTGAAGATGGATCGTGATGGTAGTAAATAAGGGAAATATTTTTTTTCAACTTATCACCAACTGGAAAAGAAAACAAACAAAAATCCTTTTTGACCTTAATTTTCTATAATTTT